ATATCCTTGTATGAAAGTAGTAGTTGAGAGGTGTAAAATGTAGCTGGAGTGATGCTGGTTTTGAGAGCTAATTAATTTTTCTCTTAACAGAAGAGAGGTATAAATAGTTTTCAGTATTTTTTTTTTAAAAGCATCTTGTAACATGTTTTACTGTTTCCTTCAAACACAAGCCTGTGGATATCGAAGGTTGGTTTTGCTCCAAATTACTTGATTTTCTTTCTTTCCTCAATCTTATTGAACTTACTCCTTTTTAAAGGATCAAGTATGTGTACCACTTTAAAAAAAAAAAAAGACAATTCATGCCTACTTGCACCTGGTTTGATCTTCAAGAGACATCAGGGTAACATGCTGCATTCATGAAGGTTGTGTAGATAGAAAAGGTTAGCCCAAGAAGCATCCCATACATCTTTAGAGTTAGAAGTAATTAAAGGCTAGGTTCTGTGGGTGGGTGTTATGGTAGGACCAACCAATGAACCCCGGGGGGGGGAGAAACACAAAAAAACCCCAACCTGGCTATTAGGGTAGGTTATTGTACTGTGCTCTCACTTTTTTTATTAATATCTTGCTATCACACAAATACTGGATTGGTGGATATGGATACAAGAGCAACAAACTTTAATCTTAGTTCTTTGCTGTAAAGGTTTTTTTAAATGGATATTCATTTTATTACAGTAGTAATACTTCGTTGTGTTGATATATATGGGGAATCTTACTTAAAAGAACATGGGCAGTAACAATCTTGTTACTTGATAATTTTCTTAAGTTGCTGCAACAAAGACAGAAATGCACTTTAAATTCTACAGAAATGTTTTTACATTTAGCTGGAAGTACTGTGGCTATGTTGAGGATGAACTTGAAACGCCCATCCTTGAGGGACAGATTACAAAAATGTGAAAGAGGGAAGGGCAGAATCAGGTCAACAGATGTTTTATGTGCTTGAAACTGCTTGATTATCTTGGACCATTGCTAAATGTGATCTGTGTGTGCTTAAATTTATCCTATCATGAGTGCTTGTTTAAAGAAATTTTCTGTTGCTATCTTATCTATACTGGGAATTCTTAATTTCTGTTCTGTTGGCTTTTGGTTCTCTTGTAATCAAGATACCAGGTGCAACTGAAGAACCTAATGTGATTAAAAGTTCGCCAGATTATTACAGCACTTTGTTTTTGCCTTTTTTTTGGCTTCTGATGTTTGAAATAAGAGGTTTTTTCATGTTGCCTATATAATGCTCTCTAAGGCCACCCTGGCCATTTGGTAGAGGTGAACAAATGGTAAAGAACACTTGGCACTTCTTAGTTCCATTTCAACTCAGTAACAGAAAAAAATTAAGTGAAATGTTACCTTATTTTGATAGGTAGGTTATGTGACTGTCAATACTGCATGTTAAAGCAATAAAACATTTTATTTTCAGCAGTGTCATTAATCTAATAAAAGATAGCTCAGTGTAATACAGAAGGAAATTGAGTATCTGATCTGTTTTGATATTCCAAGGGCAATAGGAATAAAATCAACTTGTTGGATATAGTGACAAATAGGACTAAAAGAATTTGGGTTTGATTAGGTCAAGTTACATTGTTTTACAATGTGGTTGATACTACTTCCATAACGTAGGACTAACAGGTTTGCAATGTTGTTGGTAGGTATTCTCAAAATCGCTTACTCCCTTGTATTTGCAGAACTTTTGTATTTAAGTTTTAGATCATTTCCTGATCAAATGATGGAGTCTTTTATACTTGAGTAAAACTGAACTGAACTTTGCTTATTTTGAGAATTACTTGGGCAAGTTAGTAGCACAAATTCTCAGAATTACACTTTAGTCTCTGTTGAAAGGTCATCACGAATTACTAGGTTAGATAAAGATAAAAAAAGTGGTACATGCATTTATCAGTTCTTTCTGATTCGGAGGCGTGTGTATCTTCTTGTGAAAATGGAATCAGCTGAAGATTCAGAAAATGGGGAGTCTTGTTGTGTCACTGCTGAGGTTTACTTCACATGAGAGTGTGGAGGAGTAAGGTTCACCGTTGTACATCTTAACTAGGTTTGAAAAGTCCATAATACTCTACCAAGTATGAACTCTGTATACCTTTATTTCTGGTATTTTGTCACTGCATATACCATAACACATGAAGCAGTTGGTTCTGTGGGAAGCATGAATGAAGAGGGTTGGCTTTTGAACTCACATGTTGCTATGACCAGAGGCAGTTTATAACCTGTCCTCCTGTTTCTTCTACCTACTTTTAGCTTTCTGGGTAACAGGAAGCTACATATGGCAATTCGTGAACTGCCTACGTTTGAGTGGGCAGCTAGCTTACCAGTGCAGGCCAACTGGGTGTTACCATTGCACGGCCAGGTGAGCTAAGGAGACCTCCTTGTTTTTCATCTGACACGAACTAAAGAGAGATCTTCAGGAATTATGTGTACCTTAGTACATACCATGTTGAGGTTCGCGGTGGGAAATTAGTCTTTTGGGAAACTCCAGCTACTGACAAATTGGGTTGAAACTAGCTGAAGCTGTGTGGAGGAAGAAGGTATTTTTTGAAGTCGATGGACTAATAAATAAATGACTGTTTTGGTCATAAGCCTCAGGTCTCCACAGAACTGTGCTAAGAATGCGGAGCACAGTCCAGCCAATTTAAAGTGCCTATAGACGGAGTTGGTCTCTAGCGCTTAACCCAGCTCACTCTCAGACGTGTAACAGGAAGTTACTTCTTTGTCTTCATTTGCACTTTGTGCCCATCTGGTTGCAAGCTGTGGAGCTAAATGAGAAATTCTTTTACAGCTCATTTATAGAGAGTATTTTGTGTCTGGGGAATGTTTTGTGGATTTTTGTTTTGTCTTGTATTTTTGATTCCTTGGAGAGTTTGATGTTCCTGCTTGTTTTAAGAGGGTGTGACCAGTGGCTTCATGAGCTTTTAGGTTGGTTTCCAGTAGAGGAAGCAGTTTAGGAATATCTGGTAATAAGCTTGCCAGCTTCTAGAGTAATATTCTGAGAAGACAAGAAGTTGTGAAAGTTGCCAGGTTAGGCAGGCAGGCTGTATTCATTTTTCTAAAACTAACCAGGAACTGTCTCAAGATATAAAACTGCATTTTAAAAAAAGTACCATATTCTCTCTCTCCCTTCCCCCTGTACGTTTGAAGCTCAGAAAGGTACTTTACTCAAACTTTCAAATTAAATTGATGTGGTGATGCTTGACTTTAAACTGTAGGCAACCTGAAATTAAAATTATAGTATGAGCTGCCTGATTAGACCTTCAGTGAATGTAGAAAAATACATGGTAGTCCAAGTGATTATGAAATGAGATCGCTTCTTCAGCGAAGTGATCAGAGCCTTGGGTTTCGTTTTCATCCCAGCATTTGACTTTGCCTAATGTATTTCTAGATCTTTCTGTGTTAATCTGAAATTATTTAAACCACAGCTCAGGCTGGGCTAGCTGCCCAGTTGTATGCAATAAGGCAATTGTTCCCCAATCTCCCTCCCTCTCCCTTTTTAATCTACCAGTGGTGTTTGTAGGTTCCAGTTTTTCCTCTGGATTTGGATGAGGAAACAACATCATGGACTGTTGGCCACATAGCACGTGAGAGCTCTATGCGGTAGTTGGTATAGGATTTTGGGGTCTGATTAGTCAAAGAAGGAAGCATTGCATTATTTCCAAGATCAAGCATCCCATCTTGGGGGAAAAAAATATACTTCAGGCAAAAACTTCAGTTTAATAGAATTCTGATTTGTTAATGGCAGTACTGTAGATGGGAAAGTTGGCCAACCCTTTATAGGCAACATCTCTAATCAGTGAAGGCTGCCAGGCCTCACTGTAAGTGAAGGAGGTACTGATTTGAATGTTGTCAGGTGTACTGGGATTTGCTACTGCTAGCCAAGTAAAAAAAATTCTTTTCCAATGACAGCCCTAAAGTTCATAAAATGGCTATATGTATTTGAAGAAGTTTTTAGAAAAATTCATTCCTTCTGGATGAAGTTTGAGATGCATTAGACTGTAATACTGCCAGATGAAGTTTATGAACTATTTCATGCAGCAACAAGGTGTTAGGTTTTACTTGCCTTCCCCCCCCCCAAAGAAAACCATAAATCCTTTCTTTGAGCTGCTTTGTAACCAAAAAATAATTTTAAAGTGCTTGGGGAAAACGTAAAGTTATTTGCTGAAAGAATTTTTTTACCAAAAGGTGAATTACTTTTATTATGATGCTAACAGCTGAAGCAGTAAGGTGCTGCAGAGATTTGAAATATGTCAGAAAGTATCACTGTAAAGGAAAATATTTGCAGCTTTGGTAATAAAGCTCTACCTTGTACATCTTTCCTTTGGTGTTTTATGCAGTGACAAAGTGTACTTACAGTCCTTACAACTTCTGTTACAAACTTAGGTCCACTTAAAAGCAGTTGTATAACTTCAATTTTCTGATGAAAATTGGAACAGATTTTTTTTCTTTTCTTGCTTTGTGTTTGGTCAAAAAATGACAGACTTTTCCATTAAGTTCCTTTTTGGGGAAAAGCGGATTGGGCTCAAGGTGGAAAATTGGGAGGTAGAAGAAAAGGAGTCTTTCCAAAGCCTAATTTAAAAAAAAATGGCAGGGCACTGTTAGGAAATGAACTATTTTGATATTTATTCAACAGCCTGGATATTGCATATTGTTGATGAATGTACTACTTTAAAGGCACTTGTACTGTATGGCTTGTAGGGTTTCTTTAGACAAATCTGCTTGCAGTTAGGAAGTCTGGTGATGCTTTGAGGCCTTTTCTATTCTGCATAATACGTAATTATAACTGCTTAAGAGTTTTGGTTTTGTTGGTGTTTTTTTTTTTTTCCTTTGGTGGTCCCTTATGTGGCAGAAGAAAGCAGATTATTTTCAAAGTAGTATTGCCTTAATACTTTAAAGTATGTATGCTAATCTTGATTACATAAGGGAAGATGGGAAGAATATTTTTCTGGCTTTGCTTAAAAATCCTAATTTGAAATGTGTCCCCTTTGTGTGTTTTTTCTTCCCCTTAGATTTGAGTTCTGTGAACCTGCCTTTGTGGTTGGTAATTGTTTGGAAATAGCCTCAGACAGTCATCAATATGACCGGATTTACTGTGGAGCTGGAGTCCAGAAAGACCATGAAAACTACATGAAAATTTTATTGAAAGTTGGAGGCATTTTAGTAATGCCTATAGAAGATCAGGTGACTTAGTGACAATTTCCCCTTTCTATATTCTAGCATGAGAAATATATAATTTAAGGAATGCTTTTAAATGTATATTTGACTAAGTTAATGTTCAACTAACGATATATCGATTCACTGTATTGTTGCAGTTAAGCAGCTATTAGTCTTTTTAATGAAGTCTTGAACTTTTTTCCCTTAAACTTGTCGGAAAGCATCAATATCCTGCTTCGAACAAAGTCTGTGGCAAGACTGTCTTCAGTGAAACTATAACTCCATAGTATTTCGGTGAATTATACCAGTCCAGAATTGCTTTGGAATTTCCCTGCCACACAGGTGTTTTCAGTCAGTACTTCAAAGAAACCACCTCTAAACCAAGAGAATTTATTTCAGAGAAAAACAGAATAGCTGTGATTAGTGGGACATTGTAAGGGGAGGAAAAAACTGAAGGAAATAGTATGACTTGTTTTCAGTGTTGCTTTTCCATGTTAGATTAAACGTTTTTCAGACAGGTGTATTATTTTAATAATACTTCGCACTTTTATCACTTTTCATCCTTAGATCTCAAAAGGCTTTACAAAGGTAAGTATTATTCTCCCTGTTTTACTAATAGGGAAATTGAGAAAGACAGATAATGTGACTTAAGTTGTTGTTCTCCTAAATACAGATAATTACTGAAATGCTTGTTGATAAACATGGTAGTTACTTCATCTTCCAAAAAGAATTGCCACATTATGTATCTGCTTTCTTAAAGTACCAAAGTGATTTAAACATAGCCTGCATGATTCAGTTCCATAAATATTTGTTTCCATATTTACTGGATTAGGATACTGTCAGTTGAAATTGATGGAATCCAACTTAAAAGTAGTCACAATTTGAAAGCAAAGCTAAAACTGTGATTATTTCTACCTTATATACAAATGGTTAGGGTCTAGAGCATGTAAAGTATAAGGAGCAGCTGAAAGATCTGGGTTAATCTAGTCTGCAGAGAAACAGCTAAGGGAACATTTAGTTCCTGACTTGGCTCCCTAAAGGGTTGAAGAATTTACCTGGTAGACAGGAGTCCTGTTCTGGTCGCAGGTACACAGCAAACTGAAAGAAGAACGTTGCAGATGGCAGCCAGGGGACGTTCTGCCTGCGTATAGGGAGGACAGTTTTTCACAATAAGAGTGGTTGAACACTACAGCAGGTTGCCTAGACAGGTTGGGGAATCTCAGTCCTAGGAGATCTTTTTTAGCTTCATCGGAAAAGCTTCCAAGTTGCCTGATTTAACTTTGAAGTTGGTCTTGTTCAAGCGGGAGGTAGGACTCCAGAGGTTGCTTCCCATCTGAAGTATTCTGTGATCTTTTGGAAAAAATCAGAAAAAGCAAAACTTACCTTGGGCCTTAATTTTCAAGCTGCATCTCTTCCCATTGCCAAAGAGCCTTATTCAGTCCTCTGGTGACCAAGTAGTATTTCAAGAAATATGAAAGTCCTTTCTGTTTGTAAAACAGCCTTTATAAATTTGATTTGCCTCAAAATTAATTAGCAGTGTGTTTGAACACCAATCTGAATAGTATTGAGTATGACAAAACTGTAACCACTGATTTATTTTGTTCTTGTTTTTATGCAGCTAACACAAATCTTGAGAACAGGGCAGAACACGTGGGAAAGTAAAAATATCCTTGCTGTTTCATTTGCTCCACTAGTGCAACCAAACAGAAATGACAACGGCAAACATGACACTGTGGGGCTCCGTAAGTGTTGCTTGTGCTCGCTCCCTTTGGCTTGATGGGTTGTTACAGTGCCTGCTGGTGGTGGTCTGGAGGTGGGGAGACTGCTATACAGACATAATGCGATAGAACAGGATACATACAATTTACGAAAGCAGTAGCTCACTGAAACGTCTTTGTGCTCCTGGCACATGTTCTGTGTTGCTAAACAATTAATATTCTGAATGAAAATGCTACAATGTTTCCAGTTTATTTTTCCAGGCTTCTTTTCCTTTTAGGTTGAGCTGCTCTATTTCTAGTGAGGTATAGATAAAATAGCAAGCTAATATTAGATCTCCCCCCGCCTCCGTCAGGAGCGTTAACTTTCTGATGATCTCCCAGAGAAAAATACTTCTCTCCTCCCTGAAATGGAAGGAACAGGTCTAAACTGCAGGTGTGGTACAGTAGGATATTAATAGCTGAGTGTGCTTGTGTCTGTCTGCAACTGATGTAGTCATGAATAGCTGTGTTTTATTAGCCGTTAAGATTGGCTTTCTAGCTGCAATACTTTGAATTAGGTTAGTAAAGGTATTTAGAAGGCCTCTGAAAGTACATCTTTTGCCAAGATGATAATATAGCATGATAAGGAGAAGGGGAAAAAGTGGCAGAGAAAGGCATAGAGTCGTCAGGGCTAGGAGTAGAATAATACACAGAGCTTCAGTACTATATGGGAACTTTAATAAACCCAACAATGAACCTAGAAGATAACAGCCTTTATCTGCTGCTTTGTTCTGTTAACACACAACCAAAGGAAACTAAACCCCCTGTCCTCTCCGCATGTTTCTTGCCTCCGTGCACATTTTTTAACTGTGAAACAGGTATAACCTCATCAGCAGTCCAGGGTGTTCTATCAGGTTGCATTACCTGTAACTACTCATCTGACTATTAATTTTGAGAGTGTATGTGAGCTTTCCAAGTATAGTTCCTTATTATAGTTACCTTTACCTTCTTGTTCAAAGTATGAAAGAACCTTTTGTTTATGTAATGAGGTCTTTGCAGAAATAAGTCATTTTGGTGGTTTTAACGCTTGCTTTTTGAGACCTCATAAGTTATTTCCTGAAATTAACTTGTTAATACAAGATTATTTTTCCCCTTTGTTCTTTGCTTTGGATGTGGTCCGTGATAGACTAGGCTGTATTGAGACTAACAGTGAAATGCAGAAGTAGCTTGTCAAACTTTCTGGTCTTACTATGATTTTATACAGCCTAATTCCCTAGAAGATAGAAAAGAATTTTCTCTATCACCGTTCCAGAATTTTCAGAATGAAAATAGCGCAGACCAGTAGTGTTCAGAACTGAACTGTAGTACGATAAAGATGTTTCCTGTAAGTAGCTTAATATAATTTCAAAAATATTTTTTTAGTGAAAAGAGGAAAGTATCGCAGAAATGTGCTACTACGTTGGTGCTAATTAAAAGAAAAACACCACCAACAACAAAAAGCCCAAAAACCAACAATAGAGACTTGAAGTTGCACTGTGAAATGAAATCAGCAAGATAGGCTGCTTTCCACTGCTCAGGCTGCTCTAGTTTTATTATGAAACTTAAAAAAAAAAAAAGGGGGTGGAGTGTAAAATGTAGTGATCTGAAGCTCAAGAAATAAAAATTCTAGCAAATTTCTCTTTTATAGTAGCATTGTCTATTTGTTTCAAATCCACACACCTATAAATTATCTTAAAAGTTCAGAGTAGTTCAGGAAATGTCATCCTGCTGTAAACTTTTAACTAGAAATTGCAGATGTCACTACTAAATAAACATGGAGTCTATGCCAGTCTTTGGACAACCTTTGAATACCTTCTGACACATGCGTAATGTTATATGTAGACTACAGTTATAACTGTCATAATGTCCATTGGGCTTAGTAAAACATCTGTCAGCCAGTAATACTCAAAGTAGAATCTTTTTCTCGTAGAAAACTACAGAGGTGTTGCTAAAAGAATCGTTTTACCAACTTAGTTACTGGTTAGGATACCGTTCACTGCTGCTGGACGTTTGGAAAGAAGGAGACATTAAACATAGAAAAATTGCATCCTGTTCCTCTCATTTAAAAAAAAAAAATCCATAATATGAATAGTTTGATTAATGCTTTTAGAAGAGAAACTAAGACAGATTGGCAGTAAACCACATGCAGATTCTTATGTTAATCTAAATGATTTAAGATAGCTTTTTCAACACCAGGGCTGCAAGCGCGGATGAACTCTGTCTTTGGGCAGACTGTAAGCTATATGATAAAGGTCAAGCACCACTAGCATTAGTAAAGTAAATATTCTGCATCTTAACAAAGTTTTACATCTGAGCAGGATGTTAACATGGTTGCATAGCTTCATGCTTAACTCAGTGTGGGAAGTAAGCTTCTGTTGACCCACGGTGTAGTGTGTATCCTAAAAACTGTCTGATCATGAGCCTGGTACATCAGTGATGAGTCACAATTGTAGATTTTATTGAAGTCTAATTTTCTTTTTTATTTAATTGTAATGAAGGAGAAAAGATGAAACATCTTAGATTCAGTTAAATTTTACTATATCTTTAAGTTTGGTTACCCTCAAATGTAATTTTTAGACATCAAGTAAGTTTGAGATCACTAACCAGAAAAAAAAGTGAGTTTTATTTCTTGGTCAATTTGGCTTAAATCCAAGAATAACAGTGGAATTTAAGGCTACTTGTGTAACTTGAAGTCTTCCCTAGGTGTCCTCCTGAGTGGTTCTGTATTCAAACAGATTTTATATTATCTGCATAGGAAAACTGTTTACTGTCTCACGCTAAGACTTCCTACCTATCCTTCCAAACTATCAAGCATTTCTTCTTTTTTTTTTTTTTTTTTTAAATACAGCCAGTCTGAAGCTTTCTAAAAGCTCATTTTCTTTATGCTATCTCTGTGTGTGTTTGGGATTTCTGAACAAAGTGCAGGAGCTTTAGGCCTTGACTTCCTTTAGGTAGTTACCAATTATAGCTTATGTCTTTAAACCTTTTAGATGCTGTTGTTTTCAAAATCAAAGAGAATATAATCAATGATAACTAGCATTAAATAATATGGTGGTTTTACATTATCTTACAGGATAAGAAAGATGAGAGCTTACTGCTTTTATACTTTTCTCAGGACGCAGTGCTTCAAAATTTTGTTCCATCTGCTTTTGAAGGAAGGAAAATATTTTTTATTCTGACTTTTGGAAGTCTGTCTTAGTTATGAATATGGGACAAATGCCTGCTAGTCCTTTATTTTAACTTTGTGTACTTTGTGGTTGCATTTACTGTGATTTGCATACAATCGGCAATCATAGCCTGTTTAGCTTGGTCTTACAAATGTGTTTTGGATAGTTAGATAGGATTTTATTCTTGAATTTTGAGTTGGTTTTATATTAAATGGGGCTTGAGTGTTTGTTTTTTCTGTTGGCATTAGCTGAAATCAGTATTGTCAGTCATAAACATTCTTTCTGTCTCAGGTGTGAGTAACTAGCATGCAACTGAAGTCAGTGTATGAAACAATAGATTTTGTTTGAAATACATTGGTTTTTAAGCTGAATGCGATATTGGAAGTGTAATTATGAAAATTATTTCTTCACTGACTTCTTCCTTGCAGTAGTCCCATTAATTTATGCTACTTTGTGCAGGAAGAAAAATGACAAGCCAGAAAGTAGAACAGGCTGCAGTTTTTTGGTTGGTGTGCTTTTTTGGTTTTGTTTTCCTTGGAATCAGCCAGCCGTAGCTCATCTAGGGCAGGCATCCACCAACCCAGCAATACTTAGTTATCACCTGCCTGTCTGTCATTGGAAAATGTGTAGCTCTTGGCTTTTTGTTAATTGCTTTTTTTTTTCTTCAGGACTTCAGTAATTTTGATTCCTTTTCTGCTGCAAAGATACGGGTGACTTACCTGGTTGGTCAGCTGTGAAGTTGACATGGCCCTCCCACATCAGTTGGATTCGGTAGGAACTAGGGAAAAGTATAGTGAGTAGAGAGGGCACAGAAGAAAGGGACTTGCCTAAACAAATGTGACATAGGGGTAGAAATTGTTTCCCAGCAGTAGGATCTTAAAACAGTGCCAGCAGTGAGTCCCAAGGCTTGCCAGGTGCTAAAAGGTGACAATATTTGTTGTATGCTTTCTTAAATTTATTTTAATAATCTGTTCACGCTTTCTACTTCTCTTGCACATCTGTCAAAACACCTCTTAATTTCTTGGACTATGCCACAGGGTTTGTCAAGGTGGCTCTATCTACCCTTGTTTCATTTGCGTATTGTATCATGTAGTAAAATTTCAGATGTTCTTGAAAATTAGTCTTGCTGCCTGCAGCTCATTTTTATGCTAGAGAGAAATTTCACTTGGTATAACTTAATTTTCTTTCATTTTAGCTCCATGTGCTGTTAGGAATCTCCAGGACCTAGCTCGAATATATATCAGACGCACCCTTAGAAACTTCATAAATGAGGAGATGAAAGCCAAGGGTATCGCTCAGAAGGCTCCTCCAAAACGAAAACGCAGGAGATGTCGTAGACGCAGGATTAACACCTATGTGTTTGTTGGTAATCAGCTCATTCCTCAGCCTCTGGATAGTGAAGAAGATGAAAGAATGGAAGATGATAACAAAGAGGAGGAGGATAAAGATCACAGTGAGGCCTTGAAGCCAGAAGAGCCTCCACGAAATCTCTTGAGAGAGAAAATTATGAGTCTACCATTACCAGAATCTTTAAAAGCATACTTGACCTATTACAGAGAGAAATAACTTGTTTTAAGTAGAAATAATGCCTACTGATAGTTCCTTTATTCTTGAAAATGTAGCATTTATTAAGTAGGTGGACAAATTATTATTAGTCTTTCATCAAGACTGAAGTACAGCGATAAATCATAACTTGTCTTTATCTTGTCTTTGCTACAAGGAAGACTTGCATTCAACAGTAGAATCCCTTTTTAAAAATCTATTTTTCTTTAAATTTTGAAAATGCTGTTTTAACTCTGATAGAAATATATATTCCATTATGCAGCACTAATTAATATTTTGCATGGTAAGTCTTTTTTGATCCCTAACAGATTTGTATTGATAAAAGGATGAGTGAAATTTTATATATGCTAAATAATTGTTAAACATGTGAATCTGACTTGATGAGCAATTTGTCTGTATTTATTATTATTAGGGGAACATTTTAAACATGCAGACGCTTAACCTCTAATGTCAGAATCGGACACCCTTTTAAAATTTATTTTACTATGGCTTTGTTGCAATCATTATTACTATGTTGGTAAAGACGTATTCCAACAACACAAGTGCAATAAATGTATACAGACACTGAATGAGCTGGCTTTAATGAAATATGAAAATACAAGTTCTAAAATGTCAGATGACCCTGCTACTTCTGTGTTTATATCTTTTGCCAAAAGATCTGGAGAAAAGTAACAGCTTCTCTCAGAGCCTTAAAGAAGCATCATATTGAATAAGAAGCAAAGCAATGCTTACTTCAGCTCTGCTTACGTTTAGCTCCATTCTACACTTTCAGTATTTCTCACTAGAGGCACTTCCTCATTTGTGGGAAGTTTAGGACAGTACATTTTGTTTATTTCTACAGCTCACAGCATTGAGTCAAAATGTTTGGTAATACAAGATTGTAATTTAGATTTCAGTCATCTATATTTACTGCTTCTAGGTAGAGGTAGAATTTCAACAAAGTTTAGTTTGTATTGCTTATTGGGATAGCTATAATAGTAGAAGTTAGAATTTGTTCAGCAAATGCACTTTAGTAAGTGAATTTTATACTTAACATGCATCTCCAAGAAGGTAGACTTGTGCTAGCCTATATTTTGTTTCTGAGCATGGCTCTTAGCACAAAAATATTTATAAAAGTATATGCATCTTTTGGAAACCTAAGAGTAGCAGTGCAAGTGTGGGGACCCACAATCGTGCTGATTTAAATCCTATGATTTTTCCTCTTCTAGTTGTGAAGTTACTTGCCCGTCTCATTTTTAACTTTATTTACTTTTACCATCTTAATTTCTTCATTCTGTTGTAACATAACCATGAGGGGAAACACTGTTCATTAAGAACTTGGCATGATATGCATTAAAAGCCACAATCATTGGAAACAGATGCCTGTTGGACCCAGTGAAAAACATTCCTATTGAAATATCCTGCATGATACATTTTATAATACTGGTAACATCTTTTTGTGTAATAACAATAAAACAATTGCATCTTTCTAAAATGGTAAGTGTTCCTAGTCCAAGTGTTTATAACCAGCCAATATTCATGTGGTCTAACAGTCCAATATTGACTTAAAAAATATATAAGCATTTTGTTGCATCTGAGAAGGAAGATAATCCCATGATGCTGACTCTTTATGATGCATTTCATGCTGTAGTCCCTGTTTTTTAAGGTACACCCCATAATGTTTAAGTAGAACTTCATGAAGGCCTGTTGTACCAGCATGTGGAGTTACTTTCCGCAATATATTTACGGTATAAGTAAACAAAACTATTTGAAATAAATATTCTGACTTTATTTTAAAAGCAAGAAAAACTAATAAGAAATAGTTTTCAAAAATAATGATACTAATAAAGTAATTGTGATGCTTCAGCTATAAGAATTGAACATAATCTTGTTTTAAATGGATTATTTTAGATGGAGTTTAAATAATCTGAAGTTTGAGATGTTTGTCTCTCCTTTTCTTGGAATCTACATCCATAATCTCAAGAGTGTGGGATATATTACTTAAATACTTAAAGGACTTTATACAGGATGCTTTTTGGAGAATAAATTTCTTCATTATTTCACAACTGTATACTTGGAAAAGTGGACAGCGGATGACTTGTCATGATTCTTCAGTATGTAAGGCTTTTTTGGAGTCACTGAAAGAGAATGTTCCTTCTGTGTTTTCTATGTGGATTTATTTTACACTCTTGAATTTGTATTTACATAAATAAAAAGGTAAAAATGCAAAATGAATTAGAACTTAATTTTTGCCATCTCAGTTGATGATGGGGACGTTGTTGCAATAAAATGTTTTGGGTTTTTTTTTGTGGTTTCTATTTACTTGAATTTCTGTGTTTCTGTTGCAAGTATTTTCAGTTGTTTGGAAATTCAGATACCAGTTTGTTCATAGTTAGGTCAGTAACTTCTTAAAGACTATTCTTCAATTTCAGAAATAGTAATACACCTTCTTGCTAAATTTTGGATTTTTGCAAAGGTGGGAAGACGATACGTTATTCATGACTCAGGAAAGCTATTTTGGGCACGACACTGCTTTTGAAGTACTCGTGAGGAGTTAGTTTCTTCTGGAGAGCCCAGAAATTATACTTTAGCTGTATACTCAAGAACAGTTTCATGCTGGTTTTGGTTTGTTTTGATTTTTTGTTTGGTTTTTGGTGGTTGTGGGTTTTTTTAATATTGAGATTTGTTTTCACCCTCAACAGAGCAATTATCTGGGTCAAAATAAATAAGGAAAACTTCGAAGTAAGAACAGCAAGGGTGGTGAGCAACTAGCGAGTCACACTTCCTATGGAAACTCCCTCTTGGTGCAGCCTTATTTTGTTACCAATTAGAGGAAAAATACAAGGTGAGTAGGGTAGGCTGACCAGCAATCCTCTAATTGTGGTCGCTGTAAGGAGGGGTGTGATGGATTGGAACTTCAAGGGGGTTTTCCTGCTTTTGGTCTGGAGGAGGACTTGAGACCAGTGCAGTCTTTTCAGAAGATCTAGAGTTTTTAATCCCGTGTTTTTCAGGAAAAATTCAACAGTTGCCTCCCAAAAACCTTGGGAAACAGTTTTCATTGACATGAGCTTGAACAGATTTGTTCAGCTGAGCACTGTTTCTTGCTTGTTCAGGTGCTAGCAACTTAAGTCTATTTTTTTTTAAAAAAAATCGTGTTGTTTTTCTCTAAGCTACTTTTTTAAATGCATCTTTACGAGTCAAGTTTGAAAACAAATAGGGAATGTAATCAAATGTGCTATATTCTGATTAAAGCTGTTTTAGCTCATTAAATATTAATCCATATCTCCTCTCCTTCCATCATTCATGTAATTGAGTAAAACTGAAGTCTTCTACCTTTGTGTAATTTACTAATCAATTATAAAAGGTAAGAGTTGTGTGCTATGTTCTTTAGAGGTGTATACAGAACTCCATCTTAATGAACTGCTAATTATTTTGAAAACGCTTCAATTATGTATAAGGTCCTTTCTATAAATTTGTTTTGAGAAGGTCATTGGAGTGTAAATGGCACAGTAAGGCTTTAAAGTTGTGTGTTTCTTGATAATCTTTTTGTATAATTAACTTCAGTAAAATCTGGATGGGTGGCTTGATAAATACCTGTGTCTCGCTTATGTGGCTTCACAGTGTATGTGTCAACTTGTTGAGTACTCTGTTCAAGTAAAGCTGGCTTGTTTAGCCATAGGTTTGTACCATGTTTATGATCAGTATGAACCAAGAATCTAATGCTGATTTATCAGTCCTTTTTAATGACGGTAACATTTTCTTTCTAGAGTCTTCTGATTGTCATCCTTTGTATTCTGTGATGCTTTGAAGAGATTTGTCAGGGAAGCTGAGGGAACTTACGCCTCCCTGTTAAAGCTCTGTCCTCTGCTGCTGTGAACTAGGAATCTAGGTAATACCTTGCCAGGATATTTTAGAAAATACTTCAGTGCTGCTGCAGAGAAGCGAAAGAACTGCAGAAAGCACTGGATCGTTTCCTCTCCCTCTTCCTTAATGCATTCACAAGCAGCCATTGTTGTCCCAAAAGTCAGGGTTCATTCACCCAGTGTGCAAGCCAGTAACACATGGAGTCGAGGTATTAGCTATTTGTTACTAGTTTTGCGCAGAAAGAGGTGCTAGGGGGTATTCCCACAAAGCTAGCACGCAAAAGTAAAAAAGAGAAAGGTATTTGTACAATTCTACCCAGGTAATATTTGCATAATGAATCTTCATCACTACTTGGCTAATCTGTGATTGGCTTAACTTTCTTCTCATCTCGAATTACAGTGCATTTTAAATGAACTGCGCATATTCAGTGGGTAGGGGTCTTTACTTGGAGGTGGGTAGGTTTGGTACTGGAGGTGTGGTTTTCATATTATGAGCTAAGTTCTCCTAAAGGACACATTTCTAGCTGGTTCATGCAGTATAGCCAAGTTTCTGGGGCAATCAGCCCACTGAAGTTTTCTGGTCCCTGGTTTCAGATCTACTTGTTTGTTTTATCAGATTGTTTTGTCAAGAACTGTTCTACCCAAATGATTTGCATCAGTTCCTTATCTTTGTTAGAAATTACAACCATAAAGGTTTTGACGTCAATTCCTCAGCATCACCATGATGATCGTAGGCTGGAACAAGAGGGAATAGAAGAGAAAAGTTTATCAGTACATGCTAAATGCTGTTTTCTTTTTATGAACACTTCCTCGCTATGTTGCTAACCTCTTCCTCCTGACAGAAGAAGGATTCATTAGGGTTTCCTACTGCTTACTTGACTGCCCTGCTTCAAGCATCTTTAGTACACATGGATGATGACAAACTGCAGACTGTTCCTTGCAGACAAATAGACTTACAGGAATATTTTGTTGTTACATGCTTTGGTAGTCTTTTCTCTCGGACATCCTTTCGAGTTCTTGCACCAGTATATGCAGTTTGATCAGGTTTCTGTATGCTCTTCATTTTGAAGCCTAGTGGCTTTCATGTCACATCTCTGAAAATGGGGCTGTTGAAGGAAGCTTGACTAGTTCAGGAGCCTTTCTTTAGACTCTCGCTTCTGAAATTGTGTTGGTAAGTTGCAGATCTGTATTACGAATCTGTATGACAACCTATGTGTGCAAGATAGAAACTCTCCATCTTCTGATATAAACCATTGTGACTGAAATGGTCATTTTTACCAAAGCTTTCACCTCATTCCAAGTCAAGATCTGAAGTCTCGCTAATCTCTGTTTCCTAGGAAGGAGTAAGTAGGTTTTAGCTTTGAAAAGTATTACACTCACGATCACTGTTTTACACAGAGGGAGATGCCTCTATATATATATCTTTATTGAGAGAGAGACACACGCACTTGCAGGGGTCTTCACCAGCCTAAGTGAAGAATAGTGGTTAGTCTAGATCTAAATATTTTAGAAAAGAATAGTGCAGTTAGAGTACTTTTATATAGAGGAAAGGAAATCACAGTAATAATCACAGTAATACAACTAAAATTGTAGCACATGAACTTCCTTGTTTCTGTTCCTTCTCTTAAAGTTACACTCGGCCTCCCTTCGTTTCCCCTGAGCGTTAAATCCACAGCTTGCAACTGCTGGGGAGGGCAAGGCCGGGTTCTGCGCCTCTGCAGTCCTTTGAGGGTGAAATATTTTGGTGATGTTGCTGGTTCCTTCTTACTCTCCTGGAATCAGCTTGGGAGTCATTTCTGTGTTGGATAACGTCCTTTTGCATCCATCTTCTTTGCTCTGTAGCTCCAGCTTGTACCCAGGTTTTCTATGTATAGTAATGTGTATATGTTAGATACTGTTTTGTTACTGCCAAGACCAGTTTTGTTAGGCTTCGGGTCTGCATTTTTTTTTTTTCATCTGACCATTATAGAGCTGTGCACAGCTGTGGGATTTCCAGAACCAAGCGTGGGCACCGTGTCTTGCCATCCCGTGCCAGTATTCACCTACGCTGCCTCCTGTGTCCCCACTTCTCGGGGCCTCTGCTGTCATACCAGGTCTGCGTTTTCTGCACTACAGCATTGTGTGGGAATGATAAATACCTCGTTCTGCCAGCAATCATGGATTGTTACTGGTTTATACATATATTTTTATGTATATTTATAAAAAAATGAGGCTTGTGGCACACACAGAGAAACACGAGTGAAACAGGTTACCTACAGACACCAGGTCGACTAGAGAGATTGCTGTCAGCTAAACTGAGTAAACTCTGCGGGCAGGTGAAGGAAAGCTCAGATGTAGCGGGTCCAGAGGCCTTGCAAACTCAGTACAAAGTGTATGGCCTGCTGTTGGCAATGTCAGTACCATATTACAGGGTTACACAATGGTGAAAACAAGCTTTCATATCTCTACTTCACTAAGTGACCAAAAAGCATTATTTTTTTAGGGTTGGGCCAGGACCAGGGATAAAGGAGGAGTGAGAGGCAGGAAATTTGTATAGGGGAAAGTGACTGATAAGTAAACAGTAGCAACAGACCAGTTCATATCATAAAAAAATTTAGCAAGAAATTTTGATTAGTATTTCAAAATCTTTAATTTCTGCCAGTCCCCAGGTCTGTACAATCAATAGTCTTTGTATGTTCACTTGAAAGGAGATTTTGCTCAGTGCTTTAACCATTATAAATACCTATTTTTAATCTTTCTAGCTTTAGTTTCTGTCCTGGCCTTCAGTTTATCTCTCCGCTAAATGGTGCAGTGCGTATTTGTGCTGTAATCTGTAAGAGCAAACATATAATGCGCTATTTTTGTACTATTTGCTCTACATCTAACCGATTCTGTAACATTGGCTCTAAGTAATCTGTTAAAAATAGTGACCTTTTTAGATCAACATCCTACAAAAGTAACTGTTATTTGTAGTGCTTTGTTTGTTTCAGCTTTTTTTTCAAAACTTAACAGGTCAGTTTTCTACAAAATACAGTAGTAGTATATCCCTAAAAAATGCTTTTTTGCCTTGCCGAGGAATTGGATCAGAACCACAGTGCATAATGAGTAACGCCAAGAGAGGGCAGGCTTGCCTCACGGGAAACTTAAAGGCTGTGTAGAAAGGACAATTAAACAAAATACCGACTCTGATGTTTTTATAATGAAATACTACTTTGAGTAACTTGCTGAGATACATATCTGGAAGATGTAGAATCATTCTCCAAGTCTTTATGTTATTTGCAAATAATTTTCTGAAACTTCTCTTTTAGGGGTATAGATTGATGTTTTGTGTGTGTGGTTTTTTTCTTTTTTTTTTTTTTTTCCTCGGGCATGCTTTAATTTAATCTGAGACCTTTCCAGAGTTGCTGATGAGGATAAAGCCTTCCCTTCATAGAAATTTAAGGTACCTTGCTGTAAAAGAGTCTGTAGGGGCTTG